GTGAGACTGAATATCATGTAATGCAAACTCTTTAGAGGTACACGCGATACTGATAACGTTCTCTCTCTCCCATCTCTCTCTCTCTCTCCCTCTCCCTCTCTCTCTCTCTCTCTCTCTCTCTCTCTCTCTCTCTCTCTCTCTCTTTCTCTATGTATGTGTGTGTGTATCTTTTGCCAGTTGTACAACGCCCAAGTACATGACATAAGTTATTGTGGCGACGAGCCCTCAACTCAGTTGTCATCTTACACGAAGTTTGAAGCCATAAAAAGATGTTCTTGAAATTGAAATGGAAGGTCCGAAGAGAGGGGCAAAAAGGGAAAATTTGGGTTGGAAATTACCATTTCCGATTGCTATTACAATAACAGCATTGATGACGAAGGTGAGGAACAAAAACAACTGCAACAATAACAAATAGATCAACGGGGAAAAAAACAACAACTGAAAGAACAACAGACAATGTAAATAGTCCCTCCCCCCCTTTCTCTACCACAATAACACTAACAGTAAGCTGTGTGCCACGGATCGATCCAGGTTCGTTTCTCACTCTCAGAACATCGAATGGAATATTAATAAATCAGTTAGGAAATATTTGTCTTGCACCCAAATAGTGTACATTTCATTGTTACACAACATATTTTATCCAATGTTTTGGCCTTTCTGTCGGGTATATCTCATGTAGCCAGGATTAGCTCTGACAGGTACGATCTAGTCAACCCACATCCTGAATAAACTTAAATTATGTCGAGAGAAACGTGGATTTCAAAGCGATCTAACAACAAACGACAGTAATCTGCAACTTTATTTGTAAACATTTTCCTCGATACTGAAGCTTCGCATTTCAAATTTGAATATAGTATTCAAACCTAAGAGGGTTTTGGCTGATATTCCTTTTCGATCATTTCACAGAATACTGTAGCTTTGTATGGCGCATAAAAACACCCCGCATTCAATCTTGGCCTTACCTTTTTCATGACCGCACCTGTTTGCATCAAACCATATTGCAAGCTACAGCAGTGTAACAGGCGACAAAGGTGGGGGAAGAACGTTAAAGTGCCCTCAATGCCTTCTTTGACGTAATAGGTAGAAAAGTTCCTTCAGTTTGGATTTAAGATTTTAAGAGTCATGACTAAAATTCCAAGAGAAAAACGACCCCGTCATGTCGAACTCGCACAGCTGGAATACTTTTAAACATAGCAGGAGTGTAGAGGTCGGTAGCCGAGTTCCATGAGACGTTTGCTGTAGACAGGTACTGCAGTTAGGATCTTCCTTCACCACTGGTCAGCATTCACATGGCAGATCTTAATCTACGACCATATTCAAGTCAAGCAAACTCTTTGTGAGGTTTACACGGATCAAGGAATGGCAAAGTGTTAGTGATCCCTTGATCATTTTGAAGAACGTGAAATTAATTTGGTTCAGTGCCTATGCCCATTAAACAATTTCAGGTTATGTAAACTCCAAAAATGCTATCTATTGAGCACCCCCCCCCCCTTACTATCTCTGAAATCCACACCATGCTGAAAGGTGCACATTGGGTGGCTTCAAGCATTCATGGTTTGGCGGGTCCTTGTGTTCGGCGCCACTGAACATTTCGAAAGAAGAATTAAAAATATATCGAGTCCAAAGGATGAAATGTAGAGCACTGGTTCTAAAAATTCCAGAACAGAAAGTTCAGCTCTTTAATTCTGTAACAGAAATGAACTATTGTTTAAATGTCATAGGGGAGGAAAAAATAAATGTCAAAGAGAAATGGAAGGAGAAATCAAATCAGTAGTCTCATTACTTTCCTTACAAAACATATTATGAAAATTGGTGCTTTTAACGTTTCGGCGTGTTTTTTAAATTTTCTTTTAGCCTTTTCCGTTTTCGAAAATAAGTTTCTTTTTATTTACGAATTTGATATCAAACAAAATTCTTTTGAATGTTTGTTTTGAACGTTTGTTCTAAATTACAATATTGAATAACAGTTTTTGTGCGGGGTTTCTAGAATAAAGTTGAAAAGTTTGTTGTTGTTGCTTTCGTTGTTGTTGTTATTGTTTTTGTTGCTTTTGTTCTTGTTCGTGTTGTCGTTGTTGTCGTTGTTGTCGTTGTTGTCGTTGTCGTAATCTTGTTGTTGTTGCTGTTGCTGTTGTTGTTTGTTTTTTTGTTTTGTAAGGGGGTGGGGTTCTTGGATCACCCTGTATTTACAACATTTCATACTTAAATATTGGGCAGTATATACTGCTTGGATACCCCTCGAGTTTAAGTGATGAAAAAATGCGTTATTGGTTTAACGTCCCTCCCAACACAGTAAGAGGGAACCTCCAAATTTAACGTCCATCTCCAATTGGACAGAGTCAAATGGGGAAAAATTTGAGTAAAGTGCCTTTTCTCGATGACACAGCGTTGGACTAAGATGATCTTCGAACCCAAGAACCCGTCAACTTACGATTACGAGACTGGTAGCTTAGCCATTAGACCACCAACACCATGTGTTGATTGAAACTTGATTAATGATTTGACAACGAAGTATGTTAATGTGTGGGTGGTTGGAGGGCGCTCCTGCAGGGTCCTACGTCTTTTCTTTTTCACTATTGTTTTTGTCTCTCTGTCTTGTTTTTCCTTGCCCTAAATGACCGTTAATACTATGCTGATGTGCTTCCTTTTACCTAAAACTTACTCAAAGCCGTTCCCGCTCTATGGTGTAAGACGTACAGATGGATTGAACAAAGTAGCATCCGCTTTATTGGTAGTATATTACACCCCTTTTCGAACAGTTTTGGTCATAGGCCCCTGTCTGTCGTGGCCAACCGGTGCTTCTGATACAATGTCCCAGAAGGAATGCGAGAAGCTCGACAGAATAAATCTTTTCGCGAGGAAACTGAACTCAAGTCTTCTGGGAGAAAAACAGAGGGCTTTAACTTAACCACAGTGCCATAGAGGTCGGTATCTTCATATTTGGGAAAACTACGGAGTTTAACAAGGATAAAATATTGATGCTTCTTCTTTTTTTTGTAGCAACGTTCAGATGAACGTTTGGACAAACATTAATTAATAGCCCAGTATAACTGTATAAAATTTGTTAACCGTTAATATTTGAACTAACTTTTTAAAGTTTTGTTTTTCTATTTTTGGACTAGCCGTTGTTATGAAGCAGAGATCCGGGATTTGATGCCGGCAAAGAAAACCAACGATTTGTTTCACTTGTGGAATCTTTTCAACCAGTGAACGTGTTCGTTTCTTTTTAAGGGAAGACTCGAGTGTTCCAAAGAAGAAAAGGTTTGCGTTTTTCTGCAGTGTAACCATGATTGGACATATATTCTTTTCACGTCACACAATTTGGGTCGTGGGTGGTTGGAAGGTGTCACTGGTAGGTCCTACGTCTTTTCTTTCCTGCTGTTGTTTCTGTCTACCAGCCTTTCTTCTTCCCTGCACGGAATGGCGGTTATTGTGCCAATTTGCTTCTCTGTTCTTAAACTCAGAACAATTTAGGTCATTAAGTAGACGGGCTGGTTTGACCCTGCCAATCGGGGCTGGGTAGGAAACAGCATCAATAATACTCAATTAAAATGGACCTCGGAAACCGAACTCACATTTTCTGCTTGCTACAGCGATGAGCGTAACCCATCAAAAAAAAAAATCAGACGCTGTACAGCAGCGACCGGCAATGGCGAATTTTAATCAGTGTTGGTTTGATATGATGTATTACGTAACATCGACAACTTATTATGTGTATGCATTATGTATTTATGCAATATGTATGTCGTCATTGCAACCAATTTGCCCAGCTCGATTAAAAATAATAAAGCATACTTTATTTCTTTTATCTTAGGGGTACCATTGGTCTTTAGTAGAGGAAATAATGGGAATACGGACAGGAGAAAAAGTTGCAATTTGAATGGTTCTTGAAGCATGTTTAAGCATATCAATTAAGACTGTGAAAAATTTGAGATTTAATACTCGAGAATCAAACATAAAAGTGTTATTGAAAAGTTCGGTTGTTTTCTAAAAAGTGATTTGCTTACTAGCATTACCCCCCCCCCCCCCCCCCCCCCCCTAGAATTGTTCCCCCGCTGGTCTACCCAAAAAATATTTTAATGTTAAAAAAAACAAAAAAAAACAACAACAACAAAAAACAAACAACAATCAAATAATAAAACAATGAAAACACCAAAAATCCCACTAGCAACAGTAACACAGAAATCAGATCCTGAAAATTATTCACGTTCATTGTTCCATGGGACTCCCAGCTAGTTTTCATTGTCGAAATACACGTTTTTGTACACACATACGGCACATATGTGATTGATCGGCAGTGATTTTGTCCGTTGTGGCATCGATTGAAATACTTAATGTTTCGAATACACCCAATGTAGTTTAAACTGCGTGTCGGAGTGGTGTACATTATGAGAATCAAGAGACAAAACTCTGATACATCGTTAAACATTCTTTATCTGCCATTCTTTCGTAACATTGTCCTACTTATTCAGTTTTATTCACATTCTTTCAATACGAGCGACATAGAAATAGCCGGGGAGGGGGGGGGGTCGATGGGTCAGAGTTCGATTATCAAGATCTTTGTTGCGTTGCTCATGACTAAATTTAAAGCAACACTATTATCTATTGTTTAGTATTTTGCACAAGTTTCAACAAAATAACAACTCCCAACGAAAAATTGAAAAAGAAAAGAAAGACCCCCCCCCACCCCCTCAAATTAAATACGTTATATCGTCGGAGGCAAAAAGTGTATAGGTTTAACGCCCCTTTCAGTATTGCGAGGTTGATTTTATCGTCAGTCTTCGATAAGACAGATCCAGAAGGATAGAGAGCCTTTAAGACTCCCATAATAGTTCAAGTTCAAGAACATACCCTATTGTGAAGTCGAACTAGGGTCATCTTTACCATAGCCCAGCTTGATACCAACTGAGATATTTGCGCACTTCTGTTGCAAAAAAAATGTTATTAGAATCTAACTCACACAAACACGAAACGAAACAAAAAAGAACTCGAACACAGCAGGCTTCCCTGTGTTAGCTTATATCTCATTAGACACTGCACACAACGCACGTCATCAACATGGCGGCACCAAGCGGGGTCACGTGGATCTCACGTCATCGGCACGTTTCCCATACTGGGTGTACCACCCTTGCTGTCGCTTTTCCACAGGGGTGGCCGTTTTCTCATTCCTGTTCCACCACCACATTTTGGCGTCATTGCTCCGATGTCTCTTGTTCGCTCCGTCATGAGCGAAAAAGGACGACGACAGCCTAGCATGTGCTGAGTCTACAAGTCTTTCCAAGAACTGAGTCAGCTGCTCGTCAACAGAGCTCGGTGGAGAGTTTAAATGTCCTCTCAACTTTGACGTCAGCAATGGCAAACTCTGAGAGTTTTCTGCACGGTCTGAGCGTCCGGCCAAAGACAAACCGCCCCGTTTTCCGTACTGGATGTACCAGCCTTGCTGTCGCTTGCTTCTCTCTTCTCCCTCCTCGCCTTGGTTTCCAGCCAGCAGGTCCGCAGAATCGTCAACGTTGTCTGAAGCACCAGGTTCTCTGATGCCATTGCTCTCAACTGACCTATACCCCTGAAGGAAATCGTTGGCAGGAAACAAGCCACTGTTTAAACTGCTAAGACTCTCTTCACTGGCCGAGTTCGCAGCGCTGAGTTTGTCGAATACGTCGGGATAAAAGTCCACGATAGGCAACGAATTACTCTCAAGTCCACCGCCACCTTTAAGCAGGCTGTACAAGTTGTTTACGTCTTCAGAATCCCCCGAATCATTTAAGTACGACGTTTGACTTGGTTGAATGGAGCTGTCTTCTTCCTGTTCCACATCAGATATGGTCCGTCTGTACTGCCTTGGGAAATCTTTCACGTCCTCGCTCACTGTTCCATGTTCAGAGTCCCCACCGTCTATGCTGAGTAGCCGCCGGTAGGCATCACGGAGGCGATTCATCCGCGATCGGGGGAGTCCTTTCCTCATGCCCAGCACGCGCTCCAGATGAGGCAAAAGGTCATCGGCGAGAGAGAGGCTGCTCACCGAACGTTTGGAGTTCACGTCTGTTGTCTGGAGGTTTAGGGCGTGTCCTGAGAACGGAAAAGGAGAAAGTGAGCAAGAGAGAGTAATGAAACATCTCCGATCTCCCATCCCCTATGTCCCAATTCCCCATCCTACTTTGTCCATCCTCCACCCCAAACCCCAAACCTTGCCTCTTCCAACGCATCTCAAATAATTAAAGTGTTTGTTTGTTTCAACATAGAAATTATTGATAAAGTGCCAAAAATGTACCCAAAAATCATGTGCCTTATAAAAATGTTTTCCTTTAATTTCTGTTTGGAATAACCCCC